GTCCACTGTCAACACACACCTTCTTATCAATGCCGTCCCCAAACATCATCACCAGCTCCGCCAGTCTCTGAATGATTTCTGCAGCAGAACAACACACAGATCAAACTCATGTGCACGTCACGGTCAGCAGTAACACAATCAATTGTATGTGCTGAAAAATGATTTTACCAGTTCATCTGTTATACTGATGTCCCATTTGATAATTTTTAATAATTACTGTATTTAGACCGATTTGCATCATTTTCCCTTAAAGAATAAACCTTCATTTAAATGCTAATGTAATTATATATTTATCAACTGGGGCGGCACAGTGGTGCAGTGGTTAGCGCTGTTGCCTCCCAGCAAGAAGGTTCCAGGGCTGATAAGCTGTGTAGGTAATGGATGGATTGGCTGCTTTGTGTAGTTGTTTGTAACCTCCTTGATTGATTATATTAATATGTTGATTTATATAATATTCATCAATCCTTTTAATTTCCCACTTTCATTGTACAGAGAAACAGGTTTCCTAACTGTGCAATTGACAAATAAACACTCTGACTTTTAAATAAGAGTTAATGGAATAGCTGATAATTTTATTTATTCATGGATTCATTTAATTGGACTTTTATTAGTTTTTTATTGTGCAGTTAGACGTCAGTAGCTAAATGCTTTATGACAGCACCTGATGTACAGTCGGTGACTGCAGAGACTCACCATCCTGGTCCTTCACGTCATCCTCGGGGGACGGTGCTGATTCTTTGATCTTCACCGCCACGGGCCGATGTTTGACTGGAGCTGCCTCTATGGACACACATCAAACAAACAAACAACACAGGAAGACACACATACTCACACACAACATTAATGTTCAGACTGAGCAACTCACCTGGTCCTTGTTTCCTGAACGATGCACCTTTGAGCTCTAGAATTTCAAAAGATGTGGCAGTGTGGCACCGAGTCCAGAACCCTGCTCCTGTAATGTGTTAACATATATCAGCAAAACAGACGTTGTTACCATGTATTGATTAATAAGAGATTTTGAATGCAACAACTGATAAAAAGCGTCTAAGTAGGTCAGACTGAGTGTTTTGGGACGTCAGCAGCAGTCGGTGCTGAGTTGAACTTTTTAAATTACAGTATTAATTTGCCCAATGCAGGTTATCAGACTAAACAAACAAACACACATGACCTCTGTTCAGACCGAGACACTCACCAGACTGTTTCTGTACAACAGCAGGCCTGTCAGTGACATCCCAGCCCTCTTCACGGCAGGACGCTAATATGTTAACATGTCAGAGCAAAGCAGGTGTTGTTTCAGTGCACTGATTGAGTGGAAATTTGAATGAAAAGCATCTAAATACAACATTAGGAGGTCAGACTGAGGCCATGTACTGTGGATGTGGTCAGTTCTGAGGTGAAGACTTTTAGAATGGTAATAAATGTGCAATTTGTTGACTATTATCTCTTACAAACATACACACACCCATCTGTAATAATTCAGTCAAGGTTTAATACAGTTTTTCTGTGTTGTCAGTGTGGATGAGATCAACTTCATTTGTCACTGATGGACTGGACTGAGAAACTCACCAGACTGGCCACGTATAACACCAGGCCTTTGGCTGGAATCCCTCCAGTGCTGCCTAAGGCAGGACCAGTTTCCTGTTATAAGCCGACATATATGAGTAAAATAGGTGTTATGATGATGTATTGATTAACTGGAAGTTTTGAACTTAACAAGCAGATGAAAAGTGTCTACACTGATGTGGCATCTAACCGGGTCAGACTGAAAGCAGCTGCATCCAGAACAGAACCAGTGAAGAAGTTGTAAGGGGATATCACACGTCATCACAAGGATTTGGCATCAGAAGACACTCTTTAACAACAGTAGCTGGTTGGTGACTGTGCACACTCACCATCCTGGTCCTGCACGTACACGTCAGTGATCAGTGCTGATTCGTTGATCTGCACCAGCCGCTCTGCCACTGCACGCCGACGTATGGTTGGAGGCACAGCTATGGGCACGCACCAAACAAACAAAGCAGAGCAGCAGGAGACACACACACACAGATACTACAGGCTACAGATACTATAGGTCATGTGGCAACTCACTCAAGATGAATAATTTTTATGTTGTCAGTGTGAATGAAATCAATTTAACTCGTCACTGATGGACTCAGACTGAGAAACTCACCAGACTGGCCACGTATAACACCAGGCCTTTGGCTGGAATCCCTCCAGTGCTCCTTATGGTTGGTATGGTCGGACCATCTTCCTGTAATATGCCAACATATATAAGTAAAACAGGAATTGACTAATTGGAAATTAACTTAACAAGCTGATGAGAGGCAGCTGAATGCAGTATCAGATGGTTGGAACCAGTACCCGATGCCGATTGTTTTGCTTCAAATAGAAATCCTTCCAAGTCGATCTCAGAGACCCTCTGGCCCAGCTGATTCAGCTCCGGAGCACTTGTGGCTGGAGACATCAAAACTAAACAGAAACACACACAGCTGAATCTTCACCAGTCACCCAGAAACCTCCCTCTAACTTTATACACCAGCATAAAGAATGGTGGATAAGGCACTGGGAGCCTGTAGTACCAGTACCACACTTTCCATTACTTGTACATGTCAAAGTATTGCATTCACGTTCCAACTTAAACAACTGTAAGTACTGACTGTAAGTATTATCAGCAAGGTGAAATGAAAGTTTCACAGGGTCTTGTTCTTTATTTAAAAACTCTAATATTTGTGTAAATATCTGTATATCTGTGCTCCATGTTTCCTAGCTTCCAGACTTTTCTGCGGCCTGCCATTCCCACTCCAGCCTCCAGGGGTCTCTGTATTTTCACTCTGACCCTGCCCTGCACACCGGCCTCCTTTTCCCTCATTGCCCAGTTTACCTGTTTGTTTATGGATTCGCCCATGTTTAGCTGTTGCTTATTCTTTAGACTCTGCTGTCTACTCCCCTGGACAAATTATTGTTGGATTTCCTATTTTCAGCCCCTGGTTTAGAGTTAGGGTTTTGTCTCCTGTTTCCCAGCTACTTAGTTTGACGCCTCAGGCCCAGATAAGCCTGGTCTGTTCTGGCTTTGCTTAAAAAACTGTGCTACTTTACCTGCCAGCCTGCCTGCAAACCACACTCATGTATAAAATATAAAAAGGACCTCAGAACGGTACTTACTGTAAATACAGTACTGTCACAATCCTGTCTTTGGCTTTTGTATGTGGTATTTCCCTGGACATTCTTATGGGTTGTTGTTTCCTTGTTCCAGATGTCCTTGTCTTGCCCTCTGGCCTCATTCACTTTGTTCACTTGTCTCCTTTTCCTAAGTAAACTCCTTGGTGCATATATGATCCAGGGTGAATCCTATTTCCCTTATTTCATTCTTTCTCAATCCTCTCTTGACCCCGGAGTCATTCTGGTTTGAAGGAGGTGTCAAAGCTCTTATTTCTGCTCTGAGGAGCAACGAGACACCAGTGCATCCTTCACAGAGGTCTTTTGTGGACAGACACACCCCTTTATCTGTAACCAGCTGGTAAATGAATGAATTGGAATTTACAGCCAGTTTTCTTCCTCATGTCTTTGCCAGATCATCTTGTGAGCTCCTGTAGCCTAAAAGTGTCCCTATAGTTCTCTAGTTCACTTGTTTTGAACCTTGCTCGGATTTGGACTTTGCCTCTTGGTTTTCTTCCCCTGGATTATTTCCCTGTGTTTTATTACCTTCATTTTTATACTCTGCTCAGCTCTGTCTGCCTGGGCGCTAAGTAAGCCTTGTATACCTGTTTATTTAACAAAGCGTTATCTGCCAGCCACAGTATGTCTATTTGCCTGCAGTTGGGTCCGCTCTCCTCAGTTTGCTGTTTCCATATTCATTACTTTCCACCACTGAACATAAAAAAGTCAAAGATGGGCTATTACAATATGTCATCAGACTCTTGTGCACATTTAAAAATTAATTCCCACCTGGGTCCTGAGAAGAAGGTCTTGGGCCCGAGTGAAGCTCCACCATTGTGTCTTCATGGTTTCCAGCCTGCTGGAGTCTCTGATCAGTCCTGCTGGACTTCTTCTTCCCTCTCTTCCGTGACCTCTTCCGTGACCTCTTCCGAGACCTCTTCCGAGACCTCCGCTGTGACGACTGCAGTGACCTCTGCCACAGCCTCATGGAGCAGTATTCCTCAAGCAGCAGGAACACTTCACTCTTTCTTTTTTTTTCTTGCCATTTCCACCTGCAGGAGCCAACACTTAGTTCTATGCATTCTTGTCATTTCAACATGACTGATAGGATTTTGGGCTGTTGAGCTCACGTAATATAAAAAGAAACAGAAGCGTCACGCCAGATGCAGTAACCACACAGGGAGCTAAACCAAACACAGTAACAGTAATAAATATTTAAATCATGTGCATGTTCCTGACCTGGCAGGGACATGGGAGGTTGAGGACACAGATCATTTTCTTAAAGTAAGATGACTGTGAATGGTGGACATACTGGAAATGTGTGTGAGGAACAAGTGAGCACTGACTTTTTGCTGCACACATGTTGTTAACTGCTAAATCTGGTATGCTCACAAAATGCACATTCATTTGTGTATGACTGGTCTATAGTATTAAAGTTTTGCCACTTATTTTAATACATGACAGCAATAAAAAAACTCATATTTGCTTATTTAAACCTTCAATATCCTCAAAACTAAAGATAGTAATAAAAATAATTAGGTAAAGGTATTTGGGACCAAGAAGAGCCTATGTCAGTTTGTATTAAGTGTTAAAAGAGCAGAGTTTAACATGATATACACACTTTCACTTTAGCCTGTGAACAGCTTAACAACAGCAAAGTAGGACACTGTTCTGCTCTGTACATTCATGACTAGCAGTCACCCAACATTCCCATGTCCTGAAAGCAATTTTCCAAGAGGAAATTTGGGTCACATGCATTAATTAGCACGCAGGTCGACATGGGCATGCTGATGACGACAAGCAGCAGTCATCAGCACTTAAGGAAAGAAAAGCAGTGAAATACACAGTGTATGACAAAGTAGAATGGAAATATGTAGAATTAAAATATAATAAACACTAGAATAACAGTGAAACAACAAGAGCAGCAGATCAGATCAGAAACAGAGCTGCACTCCTGCTTGTGCAGAGCCCATGATAGGACTGGGTGCAGTTAAAGGTTAGGTCCTGGTGAGAAAACGTGCAGGTACCGTATATCAGTTAAAGTGCTGTGCATTCACGTAGTTTGCGTGTCACCCACACTCAGCACATACATGAACTGATAGTGTCACAGTTCTGAAACATTTGTCAAACATGAACATGAGCAGAACCTTTGACCTAACGCAGTCTTCTGTCCCAGACATGGTATATTAAAGCCATTCATCCAGAA